AGAGAGAGATGAGATAAGATGGAGGAGAGAGAGAGAGACCCGTAGAGAGGAGGAGAGAAAGATCGAAAGAGAAGAGGAGACGAGAGAGAGATGAGATAAGATGGAGGAGAGAGAGAGAGAGATGAGAGAGGAGGAGAGAGAGAGAGCGCAGAGATGAGAGAAGACAGAGTTAGAGGGATCACAGCTGGGACAGAGACAGAGAACAGAAGACAGAGGATCTCAGCAGCAAGAGACAGAGATCAGAGACCAGAGACAGAGGACAAGAGACAGAGACAGAGACAGGAGACAGAGCAGATGACAGAGACAGAGACAGAGACAGACGACAACGAGACAGAGACAGAGACAGAGACATGAGACAGAGGACACGAGACAGAGAAGAGACAAAGAAGAGAGAGAGAGAGATGATGACCGATGAGAGAGAGAGAGAAGAGAGGCAGAGATGAAGAACCCCAATACAATCACTGTAGCGCAAAATGATCGCTGATGGCATCTTCGCTCAAAATCGGTTTTTTACTAATTGTGAATATCGATCTTGTTCCGAACGCCAGCCGAAACGCGCGCGTCGGTTGACGGTCGCTGTGGCGTTATCGGAACTGGGAGGTTGCCTCGCGTGCGAGACAGGAATGCAATTCCTAATATCCATTTCGTCCGTTTTATAGGGTTTGCAAAAATTGCCGAATTGGCGAAAATTGTCACGCACGCACGCAACACCCACACGCACTGCACCGCGGCACGCGCGCACCAACACATACATACACACTGCCGCACGCACGCACGCGCATAAGCAGCGCACGCAACAATACACACACACACGCCACTCACAACACACGCTCCACGCACGACGCACGCACGCACGCAGCGCGCATCGCACCACGCACGCTACACATAATATACACACACATCACACACACACACACGCAACACATCACACATCATACACAACACATCACCGACACACGCACGCACGTCACGCACGCCTCACACACGCTACGCACGCACGCACACACGCACGCATCGCACGCCACAGCGCCACGCTATCACATACACACTATCACCACACACACACACACACACACACACACACACACACACACACACGCACGCACGCACGCACGCTCTGTTCATCGTGATGGATTCTGAAGCCAACGCGCTGCTGTCGTTAGGAGCAACTCGTCGCATCGCGGTTGTCATGGCAATATGTAACCGCACAGTTGATATCGGCCGACCATCACGGCAATCACGGATGGGAAAAGCAGCGGTGCAGGGTTGGTGAATGTTCAATGTTTACTACTAGGGAGGGGGGGCAGTAAGGAGAGAACTTGAATACAATCTAGGATGGGAAAAGCAGCGGTGCAGGGTTGGCAAATGTTCAATATCTGCTACTAGGGGGGGGGGCAGTAAGGAGAGAACTTGTTGAAGACAAGCGAGAATTAAGGCAGCGGTGCAGGGCTAGAGAATGTTCAGCATGTGCTGCTAGGGGGGGGGCTGTAAAGCGATAGATAGGGAGGGTTAGCGCCAGTGAAAAATAACTTTTTTCACGTCTGTGGAAAAAATAGCTCCTGTCAAAAATTTTACGGGAGCTATTTTGAGCCTCACGCGAGCGATTTCTGAGGTTTGAAGAGCTCATCGCTCATCGCTCCCGTGTATTTTTTAACCTGTAAATTAGCGCGACTGACACCGCAACGTCACATGCACTCAAACCTACATGTAAGAGTAAGACTCAATCAAGGTAGCCCCCACCCACACTCATAGTGTACTTTATAAGCAGGTGGCCGTTCTGTAGAGGTGGCTTTTATCCGTGTAACGGCTACTCGACGACAACACGTCTTGCGGGGCGTCCCAGGTCGCGCCGCTCTGGGCTAGGTGACCTTTGACCTTTGACATTGCACTCAATCCGATTTCTGCTGATCGTAGCGCGCTGTCCTACATGGAGATATATACATGTAGACGGGCACCGCGTCGTTTTATCGCCCGCAAACGACCAGGCACCCATCTAACGGGGACCATCGTCACCATATGCAAGGTTGTATGGGCTGACACAGGCGGACTGGGCTGTTCACTCGCTCCCCCAACCTTAATTAAACATTGTAATCAGGAGCATCATGAATTATTCGCATTTACGTTTTTATTAAATATCGGAAATGCACGAAAAAAATTTTCGTTTTGAATGAATCATTATTTTTTTAATTCACTCTTAATATTATCAAGAACTTATTACTTGATAATATGAATATTATCAACAACTTACCTTAGGTATCATTAAGGTATAATTGGGTGTAATTAAGTTAATTAAATAAAAGTTAATTCATGTATTACTAATTATTGATATTACGTTATTCGTAATGTAATGCATTGCACGTGTATGTGTGCTGGCGGCAGCTGACCGGCATTCACTTGTTTTTCTCTCTTCCACCAGGGGGCGATACTCACGACCATGCTGGCGACAAGGAATTTCTCCAGTAAGTATAATAACGAAGGTACGTGGATGACGCCGAAACCCCGGCTGCATGCGCGCGAGGGTGCCGGCGCCCTCTGGTGGTCGTCTGTGGTTGCTCGTCATTGTGGCGCCACCTAGTGGCAGTAGTCGACCAAAAATGGCTATAATTGTAGGTGCTGCCCTCTGGTGGTAGTAGCTGTTGGTGGTGGCTTTGAGGGTGGCTGCTAGAGCAGCCCTCTGGTGGTAGTAGCTGTAGAGGATTAGTACTAGGGGTGCCCTCTGGCGGTGGAAACCGTACAAGGTTGGTACTAGACCTGCACCCTGGCAGTGATGGATCCTAAATATTGGTACTTGAACAGCCCCCTGGTGTTAGTGACTACACAAGGTTGGTACCAGAACATCCCCTGTCGGTATTAGGTAAGTAGCATAGACAATAGCCCGTCTCTGGCGGTAGTAGTGAATCTGCACTGGTAGCATGTTGACTGATTGTAGAAATCACCAACACACAATTATAGTAGTATGTAGGGAATGGCTTGCACGTGCTGCATTATTGCTTTATATGTGCGGCTGTGTGCAAGCGTGTGTGATGTGTGTAGACACCACAGTTATAGAAGCATCTAAGTATATATATGTATATATATATATATATATATATATATACATATATATATATATATAGTATGTAATAAACAACATACCTAGGTGTTTTCTTTACCTTTCCAAGCAGTAGCTGAATGTGCATTATTCACGTGAATCTTTAGATTAATTATATTCATTCTATAACATTCTATTTGTGCATCGGTTTTGCAGTTGATATTATTATACACTTATTTCGAATACAGTTTCAGTTCTTAACAACATAATCTTTTCGTATAAATGTGGCGGTACAGGCTGTGGTAAAGCATTTCGTTGTGTAAGGTGATCATATTAATTAGCAACTGTTGTAGAATTTTAAAGATTCAAATTCAAATTAAAGTTAAGTGATCGTATTAACTAGGTGACCGTGAATTTTCTGGCTGCTTCTACCACTCTCGACTGTCTCTTGCTCTACCATCAGTATCAATATCCCTGCGTTGATAACTCCAGGGGTGAATAATGGCAAATTGTCATCATTCATTAACAACTTGTCACTATTGATCACTAATTTGTTATTAATTTTTTGTTAATTTATTATTGTTTTCATTATTCACCCATGATAACGTGTTGCGCTGCTAGGGGGCAGCACTGTCGTTTTGTCGTTTGATCGCGTCGGCACCGTGTCAGCACGTTCTCTTGTTTTTCGGCACTACTGCAGGTAGAAACCTCCTCGCGAAGAAGAACGACGTGAAGGAATCGTCGGACAGTAGCGCCACCATCGAGGACGACGACGTCAAAGGTACGTTCGCTTGTTTCTGTGTCGCGGCGGGCGTCCATGAGTCATGGCGGTCTGTCTGTGACGCTGCGGGGCGGCGAGTGTGTGAGTGGAGGGGTGGGTTGAGTGGAGGGGAGGGAGGGTGGGCTGAGTGGTGGGGAGGAGGTGAGTGGAGAAGAGGGTGCTGAGTGGAAGGGAGGGTGGTGAGGTAGGAGACGAAGTAGGCCCGGTTAGAGCTGGTACGAGAGTGAGGAGCGTGAGTGGGAATGCGCGAGTGCGGTGGATTATGAGTGGCTACCCCCAATAAGCGGGTTTAGGTGGTGAGTGAACATAGGGTGGTAGAGCCGTTAAGCTGGCTAGGGGAAGAGGCGTGGTGGTGAGGGGTGGGTGGGTTAAGTGGAGGGGGAGGGTGTGAGTGGAGGGGTGTGGGTGGGTGAGTGGAGACGGGCGGAGGTGAGTGGAGGGGTGGGTGATGAGTTGGAGGGGTGGGTGGGTTAGCGTGGAGGGGGTGGTGGTTTGAGTGGAGGGGTGGGTGGGTTTGAGGTCAGAGTGGAGGGGCAGGAGGGTGAATCCCACCGATAGGGCTGGGTGGGTTAAGTGGAGGGGTGGTGCTGAGCTGGAGGGGTGGCTGGGTTTTGAAGCTGGCGAGGCGGTGGAGGTGATGAGTGGAGGGGTTGGGTTGGGTTGCAGGGAAGGGGTGGGTTGATGGAGTGGACCCGCGGGGTGTGGGTGGCGTTACAGCTCGGAGAGGGACGCGTGGTGAGTCGGAGGGGCGGGTCAGAGGTCGCTGACGGAGGGGGAAGGTGGTGCGCTGGTCAGCGCGGGTAGACGGAGCGCTGTAGTATGCGGTGTCGCGGTTGGCGAATGTGCGGGAGGTTGGCTGTCGCGTGAGGGGCGCGTGGTGAGTGACGGGGTGGTGTGGTTGAGTGCCGAGGAGGGGGGAGGCTTGAGTTGGCTTAGGGGCGTTGGTGGTTGAGTGGAGAGCCGAGGTGCGTGAGTGGGAGGGCCGTAGGAGCGTGTAGTGGAGGGGTGGCGCTGGGCGCTTCGCGTGAGGAGGATGGTGGTGAGTGGATAGGGAGGAGGTGAGTGGGGGGGTGGGTGCGGGCTGAGTGGATGAGGACGGTGGATGAGTGGTGCCAGGGACGAAGGTGCAGTCGGCGGGGGTGGATGGGTTAACCGTGGACGGGGTACGGCTGGTGGAGTGGAGGGCGCGATTGTGAGTGCGACGGGGTGGGTGGGTTGAGCTGTGGAGAGGAGGTGGTGAGTGGAAGGGGGAGGTGAGTGGAGGGTGGGTGGGGTTGAGTGGCGAGAGGGTGTTGAGTGAAGGGAGAGGTGAGTGGAGGGGTGGGTGATGATGTGAGGGGTTGGGTGGGTTGAAGTGCGGAGGAGGCTGGTGATGAAGGGAGGAAGGTGAGTGGAGGGCGTGGTGATGGAGTGGAGGGTGGGTGAGTTGAGTGGAGGGGGAGGGTGTGAGTGGCACGCGGCACAGGGGGAGCGATGTGGAGTGGGAGGGGTGGTGGTTGAGTGACGGCGGAGGGTGGTAGAGTGGAAGGTCGAGGAGGAGGAGTGAGGGGTGGGTGAGTGAGTGGAGGGGTGCGCTGGTGAGTGGAGAGTGAGGTGTGAGGTGAAGGGCGGAGGTGAGTGGCATGGATGGGGTGGGTGGGTTGAGTGGCAGGGGTGGGTCGCGCGAGTGAGGGGGAGGTGGTGAAGTGGAGGGGAGGAGGTGAGTGGCAGGGGTGGGTGGGTAAGTGAGGGTGGGTGGTTGAGGTGGCAGGGGGAGGTGGTGAGTGGAGGGGCAGGAGGTGAGTGGAGGGGTGGGTTGGGTTGATGTGTGAGGCGGAGTGGTGAGTGGAAGGGAGGAGGTGAGTGGAGGGGGCGGTGGTGCGTGGAGCGGGTGGGTGGGTTGAGTGAGGGAGTGGGTGGTTGAGTGGGGGGGCGCGGTGGTGAGTGGCAGGGGAGGAGGTGAGTGGAGGGGTGGGTGGGTTAAGTGAGGGGTGGGTTGTTGAGTGGAGGGGGAAAGGTGGTGAGTTGGCAGGGGAGGTGGCTGAGGTGGCCAGGGAGCGAGGTGCGTAGAAGGGGTGGGGTGGTTGATGTGGAGGGGTGGGTTGTGAGTGGAGGGGTGGGTGGGTTGAGTGGAGGGATGAAGGTGGTGAGTGAGGTTGGGTGTTATGTGGAGGGGGAGGTGGTGAGTGGAGGTGGAGGAGGGGGAGAGGCCTGGGTGGGTTAAGTGATGGGTGGCGTGTGGCGTCTGAAGTGGGTGCAGGGGAGGTGAGTTGGGAGGGGGTGGTGGCGAACGATGTGCGGGGAGGTGTGGAGTGGTGCTGTGAGGTGGCTGCGTGTGGAGGCGGAAGGAGGTGTTGGAGAGGGTGGTGGGCTTTAGGATCAGGACGGTGGAGGGAGGAAGGTGAGTGGAGAAGCACGGTGGTGAGTGGAGGGGGAGGGTGTGAGTGAGGGGAGGGAGGAGGTGGAGGGGAGGGTGGGTTGAGTGGAGAGGTGGGTGGTTGAGTCAGAGTGGCGGGAAATGAGGTGAGTGGGGGTTGGGGGTTGAATGGAGGCGGAGGGAAGGAGGTGAGTGGAGAGGGTGGGTTGAGTGGAGAGGGTTGGTGGGTTGCAGTCAGAGTGGCCGGCGAAGAGGTGAGATGAGGGGTGGGGGTTGAGTGGAGGCGGGAGGAGGAGGTGAGTGGCGGGGAGGGTGGGTGAGTTGGAGAGGTGGTGGGTTGAGTCAGCGGTGGCGGCGAAGAGGTGGAGTGGAGGGGTGGGGGTTGAGTGGAGCGGAGGGAGGAGGTGAGTGGAGGCGGGTGGGTTGGGTGGGGGAGGGCGGAAGGTGAGTGGAGGGGTTTGGGTCGGGTTGAGTGGAGGGGAGGATGGGCTGAGTGGAGGAGAGGCGAGTATAATTGATGTTTACATTCTCTATATATTGTAGTGCTTATTACATACTAGGTGTAGTATACAGTATATGTTGTGTAGTACTGTGTGTAGGCTAGATATAGTCCCTGTGTAATTTCGATGTTGTGTACCAAGTCGCAAAATCTGCTGCCTCTTGTTTCTGCACAAACCCTCTGGCAGATGGCGCCACAGCTCATTGGAGCGGCGAGGTTTTTTCAAGTATCGTTATTTCGAAATCGGCGATGCAAAAAAGGCTCGACTCCAATTTTAGATGTTCGAACGCAGCACGCAAGCGTGTCTGCGCCCCCTGGTGGCTCTCCTGCCATCGCGGCTGTGCAGCCGATGTTATCCGTGCTGTCGTCTGCCGCGCCGGGCAGCAGACGCCATGACACCGTTCCGTGGTGCCATCTATGCGTGCAGCATTGTCGTTTCTCGCTTTTCGTTTTATCGTTTCTTCTTTCTTTCTTTTTCCTCCTCTCTTTCCTCCTCTCTTTCTCTTCTCTTTCTCCTGTTTCTCTTCTCTCTTTCTCCTCTCTTTCACCTCTCTTTCTGCTCTCTCTCTCTCTCCTCTCTTTCCCCTCTCTTTCTCCTCTCGTTATCCTCTCTTCCTCCTCTCTCTCTCTCTCTCTCTCTCCTGTCTCTCTTCTCTTTTTCTCCTCTATTTCTCCTCTCTTTCTCCTCTCTCTCCTCTCTCTCCTCTCTCTCCTCTCTCTCCTCTCTCTCTCTCTCCTCTCTTTTTCTTCTCTTTCTCTTATCTTTCTCCTCTCTCTCTCCTCTCTTTCTCCTCACTTTCTCCTCCCTTTCTCCTCTATTTCTCCTCTCTCTCTCCTCTCCCTCTCCTCTCTTTTCCTCTCCCTCTCCTCTTTTTTTTCTCTCTTTCTCCTATCTCTCCTCTCACTCTCCTCTCTTTTTCCTCTCTTTCTTCTCTCTTTCTCCTCTCTCTCTCTCTCCTCTCTTTCTCCTCGCTTTTTCCTCTCTTTCTCCTCTCTTTTTCCTCTCTTTCTCCTCTCTCTCTCTCCTCTCTTTCTCCTCTCTTTCTTCTCTCTCTCCTCTCTCTCCTCTCCCTCTCCTCTCTTTTTCCTCTCCCTCTCCTCTCTCGCTCTCCTCTCTTTCTCCTCTATTTTTTCTCTCTCCTCTCCCTCTCCTCTCTCTCTCCTCTCTTTTTCCTCTCTTTCTCCTCTCCCTCTCCTCTCTTTTTCCTCTCTTTCTCCTCTCTCTCCTCTCTCTCCTCTCCCTCTCCTCTCTTTTTCCTCTCTTTCTCCTCTCTTTCTCCTCTCTCTCTCTCCTCTCTTTCTTCTCTCTCTCCTCTCTCTCCTCTCCCTCTCCTCTCTTTTTCCTCTCTTTCTCCTCTCTCTCTCTCCTCTCTTTCTCCTCTCTTTCTTCTCTCTCTCCTCTCTCTCCTCTCCCTCTCCTCTCTTTTTCCTCTCCCTCTCCTCTCTTTTTCCTCTCTTTCTCCTC